AGAGGTTCGTCGGTTATGCTCTGGTCTTCATGGTCTATATTCTTCAGAGACGGAGGTTGTTCAAGCGCTATACCGCTGGAACTCTCTAGTGATGAACGAAAAGCAATCCCTGCCCGAGTATCTCAAGACATTCGAGGAACATAGACTTCAAGTGGAAAGACTCCAGGGAAGCACTATGGATGATCGCATCCTCAAGCACAAGCTCCTTATGACATTGACGGCTGTTCATCGCGAGACGGGGCTGACGAAGATGGGTTCCCTATCGTATCATGAGCTTATGCACGAGCTGGTACAACTAGATAGAGTTCGTCAGCTTGACGGGCCAACACCGAAAACACACTGTTTCGTCTAATGTTAAGAACGTCAACACCGTGGAGGCTCCTCGCACAAGTCAAGAAAGGAGACAGCAGCAACCTACTGGTCGGATACCTAAGAGAGCGAAGAGGTGGTCATGTGTTCGGTGTCTTGACACGGTTGCACCTCAAGGGCATGACCATCGAACCTGCCCGAGTGAGCATCCTATTGATAAGGAAGGCCGCTGTCATCATTGTAATCGCACAAAGGGTTCAGGCAGAAATTGCTGCCAAGACCCCAATCTATGCACTGCGAGTAATAATCGAAGGTGCCCTCGGTGTCATAAAGAGAATGCACATCATCCCTTTCACTGTCCTGGTCCGCTGCCGACTACTGCTGCTACGACGAACCCTCTGCAGACAATGACTACCTCAACATCCGGGACATCTATGCTCACATTCGAGACGGTCACCATAGGAAATACCAGTACTGCGTTTGAGAAATCACCACTCAGGCACACTACCCTCAAGATCATCGGGAAGAATAAGAAAATATCGATCTGTGGTCTGATAGATACAGGTGCAGAGACAAATGCTATTAGCGAGGTCGCCATGGAGAGACTCATCCGAGAAGGGGCCGAAGTCAAGAAGCTCGATGAAAAATGTACCGCTATTATGGCCGATGGCAACCCTATAAACGATTGTCCGGTCTATCGACTCCGCATTGCACAAGCTGGAGAGTCTGTTGAAGCATCGGTTGTTGTCATCAAGGGACTAACACGTGATCTGCTCGTCAGTGGTGTCTCTTTCGAGCATTTCTGCTCATACAGTATGGTTGTTCGCCGGTGGAGGAGACCGGCTCTTCAATGTTGGCAGTATGTCTCCAAAACTGAGGAAGCTATGGGATAAGTTCTATGAGGAATTCTGTTGTCCGTCCATCACTAGCAATAACACTACCGTAGAGGTCGTAGATAACAACGAGTCCACAGAGAATGTTGGTGAAGCCCCATATATCTATGGGATAACACTTCAAAACGAGAATGAGCTCAAGAAAATTGGAGGAGATGGTCTTACTGATTGTGGTGTATTAGAGGACGGCGATGACGTAATGGATTCTCCAACAAACGGAGAACGGCTAGGGCAAGACCGTACTGCTGAGAGCACCCCGCAAACTATTCAGAGATATACACATAAGATCAAGTGGCTAGGCCTTAGACCAGTGAATGATATAGAATTGCACCGACATCTTGCTAATGGTCTAGAAGCAAGATTGAAGAAGGCTGGTACGTTCGAGCTCTATGATGCCGAGATAAAGAAGTTTGAAAGTCTCGGGTTCATAAAACCCATAGATCCGAGTCGTGCCTGCTTCTGCTTGAGACACTTTCCAGTGACTCGCAAGCATGGCAACGAGCTCAGTAGCATGCGAGTACGTCCCGTCTTCGACGGGAGCATGCTGCGAGGTAAGATCTGCCCGAACATTGACGACTCGGACAAGCAACATGTTACGAGTTGTATATATCTCCTGAGAAGATTCCACCATTTCGTCTCCTGTGATTTCAAGGCCGCATTTCTACAGATAGAATATGGCGATGAATTAGATAAGAGGCATTTGTGTTTCTGGTGGCGAAATATCCTCTACTCATATCAACGAGTTTTATTCGGATTACCCGATAGCCCTGGTGCTCTAATACACGCCTTGGCTGACAACATCGAGACCAGTAAATCAGCTCTAAATAAATGCCTCGATATCGACCCCAAGGGTGCCTATGGTATACGCATTCTCATGGATGATCTATCGATCGCAGCACAGACGGAAGGTCTGGTACATGAAGTATTGAAGGAGGTCCTAACAACGGCTGCGAGTCGAGGATTCGAAGAGAATGAGGCCAAAAGGATATCGTCTGCTCTGATACCTTCTTCCAAGACATTCTCAATACTGGGATATTCTTGGAATGTTAACGACGATACGCTTGAGATATCAACTGTCCGAGAATTATCTAGCCTGCCGGTACAAAAGGTAGCAGATTATCGACGGGCACTTGCAACATGCTTCGACCCATGTGGACTGTATTTAGAGCATTTAGTTAGCCCGACTCGTCTGGTGCCCATGGCGTCTGTAGACGCTTGCGGGCAGAATTGATCGCTTGGTGTCTCATTGAAGCCCACCGCAAATGTTACCAACGGGCAACAACCCACTCACACCGGGTGGTATGGTAAACAGGACAGCGGACCCGGAATGCGGGATTCGGTCGAAGGACTAAACTCGAACCAGAAACCCGCACGTCGGGCCGCCAAATCACAGGGTTGAGGCTCGCTCGAGGTCGACCTCCGCAGGTCGGCCAACGAGCTGTCTCAGCCGAGTGATTCAACCCGGGAGAGGGGGGGCGGGGAGAAGATAAACGAGCCCGCGCCGCAACTGCGGAGGGAAGGTATACATATACCACGAGCTACTCACAACTGGCCTGGAGTACAGGCTACGAAAGCCTCCTAGATGTTTCTCGCAATCGTAAATATGCAGTACTGTTACGGTCTACTTCGCTCGCCGACGACACAAGTTACCGCACTCTCGATTTTTTTGTGTGGTTGTTTCCGCACCGGTGACTCTGGTCTTGTAACTAAACTTGATTACTTCGTAACCATCACATAATGAGAGGGAGATTGTATCTACAACAGCTCGCGAAGAAAACGGATGACGCCGAGCTCGACGCCAAGGAGAAGGACGTCATTGAAGGATGGTTTCAGATGTTGAAGAAAGCTACGAAGGTATCCCGTACTCTCTATCCTGCCAGCGACTCGTATGACGTCTTGGTGGCCTTCATTGATGCATCGGCTCAAGCATCAGCCATTATAGTGGAAACCCTCGATGGACGAAGAGTATGGGCGAGGGGTTTTATCCGCTCTTCCAACGAGGCAAAAGACAGCGCCACGGATGGAATTGGATATCTTATGCACAGGAACCACCCTATTGGTTACATTCATCTCGGATATTTTGGATTATTGG